AAATACCATGCAGTTTATTTCATTTACTTTCGCTACTACTTCATCTAACAATTATTTTATCATGCAGCATAGTTTGTCAAAATGGCTTTAGCAGGCACATTAAATAATACATGAAAAATGCAAACAGAAATGACATCTAAAATATGATTTCCATTTACTTTAATCTTTTCTTGTACACTCATTGTGATTTTGATTCCACGCTGATACAGAATTCCTTTTCCTATTTTAAAGAAAGTCTTTGTACTTGGAAACAGAGTTAAGTTGTTTTCCAGATGGTAGAAAAAAATGTGTCTTTGAAGGCCTCTATATATTGCCACTGATGGCAAGAGTACCTCATTTCAAGCTGTGTTCATTGGGGAGCTGCATCAACAATCAATGCCTGAAGCTATATAAAGGAATTCCACTCTCCAAATGCATACTTGCAAACAGCTAAAGGAACCTCAGGCCTGTGTCTTAGAGATTTGTCTTTGATAAGCATCTCTTATTACTAGAAAGATGTCTCTCCAGTGCAGATGAGAGCCTTGATGCTGGATCTGGAACATTTTTAATGTAGATTCTAATATTTTAATTGAATCTAAATGTAAAGTTCTTTTTCTACTCACTCCCTTCTCTTCACTTTTCTGAAATCAGATTATTTTCATGGGAGCATGGTTTTGTGGAATGACACTGAATATATCACATTACTGAGTTTAAAACTGATTACATCCTTGTTCTGTAATTAAAAATTTTATTTCCCTTCACTTATTTGCAAACTAAAAATTAAAGTGGAAGTTTACATTGCAAATCATATTACTTAGTATTGTTTTCTGGTTACTTAGTCATATGCTTTGGATGCTATTCAGTTCGACTGGATGAATTAATGAGTTCATGTAATGTCCGGAATAATGGCAATAAATTATCGTAGGGGTGGAACATAACACCCTAAAGTGGGGCTGAGCAACAGTTTGCTTTACAAAGCAAGATTTGAAAAAAGCAATTACTAACCTTTAAAACAACAGTAAAATCTGTTTTAAAGTGACAATCAAGGGCTTAGAAAAAATCAGTTGGAGAATAAAGATGGTTTTAAACTAAATGTCAAACAAAATTGTATTGGAAACCTTGGGGAGAATGTAGAATAGTAGTTTAAGATGTGAGATGACGTATTGGAGGTAGTTGTTAGGGTTTCCATGAACAAATGAGTTGCATTAGCAGAATCCTACTGTTCTCTTTTAGTGTCTTGTAAATGTTTTTTAGTAGTGTATCTTTAATTTTAGACATAGTGCTCTGGACACATCTCTCAGTTAAGCTTATGCAGTCCCATTGTCTCAGCTGTTTATCTTTTAGGATGGCAGGATTCCTTTCGTTCTGCTGCGTTTAAACATCAGATATTAATTTTGTGTTTGGTTCACTTTTTATGATCATTTGCTATTTGGTTACCTTGCTTGCTTACAAGGAATTAGAAGGTGAAGATGCTCTGGAAAAAAAGGATTCTTCATAAATTAAGCAAGGTTAACGCCCTTAGCTGGGGCTGACTGAACAATGTCTATCCCAGAATTCTGAAAAAAACCAGCTTGTGATCACAGGTGTGGTAGCAGTGATTTTTAATAAATCAACCCAGAAGTGAGGCCATATCACTGAAGAATATTAAAGGGAGAAAAAGGGAACCACTCAGATATAGACCTATTAATCTCACCTCAATATTATATAAAACCTTAAACATTTTTTAAGGAAAAGATAATCCTGTACAGACGTAGATGGCAAAATAGAGAACATGAAACCTGGATTTACCAAAGTTAGATTGTGTCAGAGTAACCTGATATCTTTTTGATAAAGTAAATGCTTTTTCCCTAAGAAATTGAACTACATTTTAGTAAAATATTCAATACAGTGCCTTGAGGGGTGTGTGTGTATATGATGGGAATTAATAATTAACCTAGACAAACATGACAGTGTGGTAAAGTAGTAAGTAGATCAAGTGTTTTTTCTTGAAAAAAAGAAATCTGTTCCGGGGACAGGTTCCTTCAGATGTCTCCAAGAACCAGTATTGGGACCAATCTTCTATAATATTCTTATTAATGACTTGGGCACAAAAATAGCGCTCATCCAATGTGCCGATGACTCGAGGTTGGAAGTCTTTAATAATATGGAGAACTATTGGAAAACCATATGTAAGGAACTGGATGACTTTAAGGACTGAAGTAATAGAAATGGATGAAGTGTAATAGTACAGAGCGCAGAGTCATGCACTTGGGGACTAATAACAAGCAATTATCTTGCAACCTTGGGAGCTTGTCTGTTGGAAAAAATAGAGGAGGAGAAAGCTTGATTCAGGGTCTTTTTGAGCCATCAGTATGATGTATCCATGAAAAACATAAATGAAATGTTAGGATGTAATAGGCAAGGTATTAATGCGCATGTCAGACCTTGTATGGAATACTCTGGACTGTTATTCCACATATGTTGCCCATGTTCAAGAAAAATGCATTCAAACTAGAATAACTGCAGGGAAGAACTACTAAAATAGTCTGAATGAAGATCATGCTCAAAACCTGTTCTGCCCAGGAGAGGGCTGTGCTCCAGAGCACTATTCAGTTTGCAAGTCTTTTGCTAAAAGGCCACAGGAAGACAGTGAATACTGTGAAAACTGAAAAACCATTTCTTCAGGAATCTGAGAAACCTCAGACCCCAGCAGACCCTTTAATAAATCATGTACTGTATCTGCCCCAGAATTTAAGTTCCTAGTGAACTGAGACATTGAGCCCTCAGATATGGTATATTCCATCAACCAGTTGCCTCACTAAGAACTTCAGAAAGGGGCTGTAAGGAGTATTGCTTCAAGGACTAAGATAGGCACAGATCCTCTTCTCCTACCAGGCGTCAAAAAGCTTTCCCTCAAGCTCGGCTTTTAAAAACCCTGAAGATGAAGTCTTGCTTCAGAGTGTCCGTTACCCAATCAGGCATTATTCAGGTCAATGAAGGTCATGGTCACGTAATGATCTCAGCATTGCTTTGGCGGTTCTTCTGCAGCTGTCAAGCAATGAATCACGTCTATTGTACTTCTGAATAGTCTGAAACCACATTGGGACTTGGGTAGAATCTCCTCATTGAGCAAAGTGAATTTATTGGGGAGCATGTAGATGAATATCTTCACTGCTATGGACAGGAGTGGAATACCACAATAATTGCTGCTATCTCATCTATCTCCTTTCTTGAATATGGTCTGACAGTGTAAATTGTGCTAACCAAATCCTCATCTGTGCTAATTCAGGGCCTCTTTAGCATCACTGATACATACACAGTAACCAGAGACTTTCAGTTGAGCCACTTCCAGATTGTGATCTCATTGTGAGACTGTGGAAGGTGGCTATCTCTAACCTGTTTCATAAGAAGAGGAGCAAAGCAGACCTTCCTCCCCATGTTAAGCCAGTGTATTCAGTGCCACTTTGAGTAGGTCAGTGAAAATATAGCAGGTTTGGTTGAAGAATACTTGAGGAATACAATACAGTCAGGTCTTGATTTACACGGGGTGGGGTTTGCACGGTTTCAGTTATGCATGGTCAATTAATTGTGACCCTTTATTTTTGTACATGGTATGGATTCACTTTTACATGATGCAGTGCAGTCGCCAAGATGCACAGATGCATCTAGAATCAGCTGGCCGCTTCCTGCCCCCCATCCAACACACTGCTCTCAGTGTAGCTTGTAAGTGTGTTGTGGTAGAAGAGGAGCGGGGAGGGAAGGGACATAGTGGGGCAGATCAACACCCCTGCAATGAGGGAGGGAGTGGGGCAAGGGTTGGGACAGGCACTGCCCAGCCAGGGCAGGGGCAGGACAGAGCCACGACTCATCTGGGGGTTGTGGGGTTGGGAGGCAGCTCCTGCCACTGCATACACCCTGGGAGAACACAGGGGGACATATGCCCCCTGGACCTGTGCAGGGTGGGCTACAGCTGTGGGCTGGAGCTGGGGCTATGTGAGGCTCTTTACAGCAGGGGCTAAGCCAGGCTGGAGTTGGGGCATGTGGCGCAAGTGCTGGAAGTGGGCTATGGTGAAACTTGGGGTGGCTGCAGCCCCCCCTCATAGCCCCCTCCCAGCTCCACTGCCTCCCACCCCGAGCCTGGCCCACACTGAGAAAAGCCTGGCACAGCTCCAGCCCACAGCTGCAGCCTGCAAGCCCCGTGCCCTAGGATGAGCCACAGCTCCGTCTCTCCCCCACCCCACCCTGGCGGCGCAGTATCTGCTCTGTCCCACTTCTCCCTCATCGCAGGTGGCGTTGATCTGCGTCCCCCACACACACCCCATCCCCCCCACCTCCCCTTCCACCTCACCAGACTTACCAGCTGCATGCAGCTCTCCATGCTGCT